GCTCGTCTCGAACTTGTTGCTGCCGGTTTATGCGAGCGCAGTTCAGGAAAACCGGCCGGTCTTCGCACCCCCCCCCCCCCCTCCTCGGAGACTGTAGTCCATCCCCTCACTGTCGGAGACAGTCGACCCCCTCCTCCACCGGGGAGGGGGGTCACGTGAGACACGATGACGTCACGGGTGTCGGGCCGGCTCGAGCGTGTCGGGTGTCATCTGTCACGGGTGTCAGGCGTCGGCGGCAGCGCTGTTTGTCGCCAGACAGCGTCGCGGCCGTCGTAAAGACGCGCCGAAAGGCAACAAGCCGACAGAAATGACTAGACATACAGGGTGTCCCAGAATTACCCGGACATTTATTTTCTGGCTAAAAGTACGACTGCGCTCGCTTCTAATGATATACAAGCATCATACTTTTATAAGATATCCCTTAGCTATCGAGATCGGGGACTGTGTGCTTTTGGTGGCCGGTAACGACTCGAATCAATTATTATCCAGAGTCAAGTAAGAGTAGTCCTTTTCCGTTTTCAGCTTAAGCCACTAATAGGCAACCATGGTGAATCAACTCCCGTTCTCAACTTTGTAAACGAACTTTCGGCATGATTTTTGCTGGAGAGCTTCAGCAGCTCATCTGCAAGCAGCTAGGATTGAGCAAAGCGCAATTATATCAGCTAACGAAGCCAGAGAGAGCAATCGATAAACCTGATTGACAAGCTTGGGCTCGGCCAAAAAGGGCCATGCACTAGTTGTCAAACAAGTGGTTGCTTGTCATAGACAACAAACGTCACCGATCTAGCTAAAAACTAGCTAAACAATAGATCAGGATTATCTACAAAACATCAGTCTACTTTGCACCACTATCATCGACAAAATTTTGGAATTTGGGGTCCTTCGCCAGAAAAATATGCGAAAACTACGGGAAAAGCAGCGCAAATCACTACAATTCATCCCAAAAATATAACATATACAACAAAACAGTATATTGAGGCACACTTTGTGGTCTAACGAAGGTATTATGTCATTTGAGCCGCCCGAAAAAGGCTTGTGTGAACGTCAGATGGCTACAACGCCCCAACAGCAGAGACGGCCAGGCACCCGTCGAAAATCAAATTGTGAGACATTTTGAGCCACCGTGCACTCATTGGGCTTGATATGATGGCCCAAAGACAACCGTTAGCACAGGGTACTACTGCGGTAATATTCTACCAGTGCGAAAACTGGATGCCGTGAACCAAATGGCCATGAACGGGTTTGTTTTGGAAACCAAATCTGTTGGAAGCCAAAGGTTGCGCAATGTTGAGGCATGGAGCTTCTCCACTCCAGATGTAAAAAAACGCAGCAAAAGTGGCGTAGGCAGAAATTTTTGTTTTGGAGGAATACCTTATGGCCTGGGAACACTTCGATGTCAAGTTTATCTTAAATGATCGTATTATCCTCCGGTAAGAGGTCAAAGAAAACAGGCCTACACCCAGTTTCGGGAGACCCGTAAAACAACCGAGACCAGCAATGGCTGGCATTTTCCGTCATTGTCGGCTGATCTTGTAACAAGCGTATCTATTGCATGTGCTATTTCACAGCCACCCTAGTTGACTATATAGGACGGTAAAAAGAAAAAAGCGCAATCATGTTTGCCTTATTTTATACGCTTATTAACAATGTCCGGGTAATTATGGGACACCCTGTATGCAGTCGTTATACTTGAAATGGACTGCAGCGCTCGGGTGTTTCGAGTATTAAACTGAAAATAAAGCAAAGGGTGATAACAAAGCGAGTGGTAAATTTGGATCTTTCGACGATGCGTACAACTGGCAAATTACGCTGCAAACCTCAATGTGAATACTAGTTGACGACTTTGATAAGTGCATAGAAGGTGACATTCTTGTTTCATATCATATAGCATCAAGATCTACATTATATTATCTGATGATATTGGCAAGACACAGGCGTCCACTCCAGGAGCTCTTGCCAGTTTCCGTGAACGAAATAACGTTTGTGCGCGCCTAATTCCGATGACCATTTGACCGGCTTACGGCGGGGTAAGAGTTGATCCGGGCTCAGTTGGGTAAATTCGGACCGGACCATCGACCCGGCCACAATTGAGGCTACGGAGGCTTCCCTCCACCGAATCCCCGCGGAAAGGGCCGGGAGGAGGCCACAGCCGATAATCGCGAGCAGACGTGACGGCCGGTTCCAGACAATCCGCCGTGGACAGGGGCCGTCGCCGGGTCTGCCAGGTTGTACGGCGCCGGGCCGTACCGTGCACACCCGGGATTACCCGGCACGCTATACCGCGCTGCCGTGACGGGAACACGACGGGCCGGTCGATCCCTCCGCGCCGTCCCTCCCCGTCCGTCCCCGTCCCTCCGCCGTCCCTCCGCGTCCCTCCCCGTCCCCTGCACCGTCCCTCCCCGTCCATCCCCCGTCCCTCCGCGTCCCTCTCTGTCCCTCCCTGTCCCTCTCTCCTCCCTCCCCTCCACCATCCCTCCCCCGTCCCTCTGCTGCGCCCGAGTGGTGCCGCACCGAGCCGTTTATTGTCTGCCCACACCAATCCGGTCCAAATCCCACACGCACTTGGTCGCAGACGAGGCCCTGGAGGCTTTGTAAGAGCCACGCCACTCGGATGTCCGCGAGCTGTCATTGTGGGAGAACAGCCCGTATGTTGTAAGACAGATTTAGACTTGATGAAAAATTATTTCATTAAAGTCTTTCATGGTGAAAAAATGTGGAGATACCTATTTTTTTTTTAATTCAGGCCCTACCGGACTTTTGGTAGGTCCGCGCTTAGGCAGCCTGGTCCTTTTTTATTTTATTTTTCGAACTGTGACCGGCCTTGTGATCTCTCATTAAATTTACGCATATTTACGGTAAGTTTTATAGATTGAACTAGGTAAGCATGTACCATGAACCTTACATATGAATGTAGGAACGCGAAATTATTGAACATGAGGTCAGATGCGTTTTACTTATGTGGTTCTCGCCCGGCTTTACAAGACATACATGTCCGGTATGTAGGTAGTGTAAAATAAATGTCGGGTTCGCCGTGACACGCTTATTACTGCGAATATTTCAGTCGTCGTCGACCTTACAAAATCTAGCACCATTCCATTTTTATTTCATTTTTTATTGGTAACTGTCCGACCGCGCGTCTTCCATCAAATCAAATTTATCAATCCGTGGTGGTGGTTGTCTCTATAGAGTGCTAAAACTGGGCACACTTTATCAGCTCCGCGCCATGACGTCGTCTTTTCTCATTGTCTGCTCGCCGCGGGCACTTCTAACCGAGTGCTTTATCTGCTGCGACTGTCTCGGTTTCAGTGTCGAGACGTCCCCGCCCCAGTAAATAACGACGCAGCTGTACCGGCTCGCAGCAGGCAGCTGCCGCCGGCCGCCCCCTCCCAAACCCTCTGTCACTCCAAAGAACAACGAGCCCCGGAGAATGATGGAGACGGCGGTGGGGGAGCCAAAAGCGCTGAGCCTCCACTTGTGCCTACATAAGTCTATTTTTTAGCCTCAATCGTTGAGTGACTAGATATTATGTTGACATTAAATGCTTGTCATGAGTGATTTAATTATAAAGTTAGCAGCACATTCGTGACTCGGTATTTACTATATGATGCGTCTTCTGTCGTACGGACAAAAAGCGGGACTAGAGTGAGTGTGTAAGGGCCTTATTCTGAACAAGCTCAACCACTTCATGTTAGCGTGACTTCAGACTTGCAATCAGATATGCGCTCATTAGCATTGATTTGATGTGACGTATTGCTTACATGCTTTTTTCAGTGCAATGCATCGATGTAGTTATATTTTGGAATAATATGTAGGGTGGGTTAAGCAAGGTGCTACAAGCTGCTAAATAATAGGCGTTTCCTCTTGTTTTTGAATTCAAGGAACATACGATAAGCCATGGATGAGACTTGTATTTCTCAATCATAACATTTCCATTATAGAATTTCTGCTCCATAACTCAGCTAAAGCCCATCGCATCACAACCACTAATTTGAATCAAACTGAACAGGAACGGGCAAAGTATTAGCCATCAATAGTACCGCCCACTGAAATTGCTAACCACGCATACTTTGTTGCGCCATCTGAGTGATGAACTGTCCATTCCAACTGTCCAATTAAAACAGGGAACTACCAAAGTGCTGAATAAACTGTGGTCTGTTTAAAGTACGGGAAACGATGTACGGGTCTTTTGTGAAGCTGGGGGCCTGGAGCCGTAGTAATTTGTCGATAAAAACACCAAAAGATAATCCGAATTCAGGTTAGATATAAAAATTGAACGGTTTCTTTAACTTGTTGCATGCATTGCTAAATGCTGCATTTTGCATATTGGGGAAGAGAAATGTAGGTAATGAATACACATGCTGAGATAACGTACCTATATGGGGATAAAATACGTGAAAGAGAACGATTGTCATCGCTTCAGCATGAACTGAACACGTCCGGTCAAATGAATGATTTTAGGGTCCGGTAATGGGGCAATGTACATATACCAGCTTAGTATGTAAACATGGAATCAATCGTGGTTCTACGTATGGGGTCGTTGACCATTATGATTGTCAGGTATTAAACCTTGGTTAGTACGCTGGTACTATTGAGCAACCAATACGGCAGGCATCCAACCGCCGTCGCTAAATCGATAGCAGCTGATAGCTTTTGTCGAATAATGAATACGCACAGAAAATGTCATTTTCAAGATTATGAGGAGTTTTGCCATTCAAATGCGACTGTGTTATCAAACGTCGAAGGTCAAAGTCGTAATAACTGGTAACACGTATGTACGCATTTCATGTTCTGTTTCTCATTTAATTGACTACCTTTTCAGTTCCTCGCACCAATGTATTACCAATTCAGACACAATTACCTGTCAAATAAATACCTACGATCAGGCAGTCGTTATTTGTTTTATGTCCAATGAACGTGTTTCACGAATATAAGATCGGCAGCACCCACCTGTAACAGACAGCCAAACCGCCCGCCCTGTCCCGCTGCCCCGCGGCACTGACCTGAATCGGGACCACCGATGACCGAGAAGCCGAAGTCGGCGTCCCGTCGGCCGCGCTGCAGCGTCAGTCGTCGGTAGCCGGCCACTCCGGAGCGTCCGTAGCGCGCGCGTCGCAGTCGACGCTCCGAATGACGCAGCTCCTTCCGCCGGCGGCGCTCGCTCTTGCTGCGCCGACCGCGCTCGGCCGGCTGGCGCGGCCGGGCGCGCGGCAGTGTGCTGCTCCGCCCGCACCCGTCCCAGTTGGGCTCGCCGTGAGAGGCGGGCGGCGGCGGCGCCGGCGCCGGACCCGCCGACGCAATCGGCAGGTGGTGGATGAGCCGCGGCGCCGCCGACACCGGCACCGGCCGCAGCGGCTCGGGACGGATGGGTCGGAACGCGCTGCGATGCGCCGCCGACCGGCCGCGCTGAGAGAACGGGAACAGCGCGCGCTCGTCGGCGGCCGACTCGTGCGCGCTGAGGTCCGTATCGCTCAGATCCAAAGTGTCCACGCCGCGGGCGAGCGAGTCGAAATCACGGGCGGAGACGTAGCTAGGATAGTGCATTCCGGACGGGTCGTGTGACCCCAGTGCCCCGGGCACTGAGTGCGGGTCGTCGGAGTAGCCGGCCGGTATCCCGTGCGGGCCCCCGGGGGGCTGCCGCGGCGCCGGCTGCGGCTCCGGTGGCGGTGGCTCGTCGTGAGGGGACCACTCGTCCCAGTGCGGCTCGTCGGCGTCGGCCGGGTGCGAGGCGCGCCTGCCGCCGCGGGTGGGCGGCGCCGAATCAATCACCTGTTTGATGACCATCTCATGGTAGGAGTGCACGGTGGCCGGCGTGCTGCGGCCGGGGATGGTCAGCTCGTTGGTCGACTGCACGATGTGCTGGTGGACGGCGCTGATGCGGCCGCCGGCGGCCAGCTGCGCGTCTGCCAGCAGGCTGTGGGCGCGCGCGCGCTGCAGGCTCCGCAGGCGCCGGTTCAGCTCGGCGCTGACACTGACGGCGCGCGACGGCCTCGGCGGCTCGGGTTTCGCGACCGATCGATGCGGGTCCAGGCCACCGCGCTCGGCCGAGTACCCGACCAGGCCCAGGGCGCGGCCGCGGGCCGGCGTCCAGTCGGCAACCGGCGCCGCCAGCGGCCGCGGAGGGCCCCAGCCGGCGCGCCCGCCGCCCGCCGGACGGTAGTCGTCATCGGCGTCAATCCGGGAGTCCCTCATGGGTCCGTGAGGTGGTCGGAGCGGCCGCGGCGGCCCGTGGCTCGCCGGCGGCTGGTCGCTGTCGGCCTCCAGCACGCTGAGCACGTCGTCGATGTCTGTCCAGCGCTGGCTGGTGGGCCGGCAGTCGGTCGGACCGGTAGCCTCCATGAAGGCCAGCGCGCGGTCCAGGTCACTGATCTGACCCCAGGCCGGGTGCTCGACGATGCTCGCCGGCCGGCCGCGGGTCGACCCCGGTCCTGGACCGAGCATCTCCGGCTCCTCTCTCATCCTCTCCCTCTCCCTGTCTCTCTCCCTCCGCCGCTCTCTGTCGGTCTCGCGCGCTCGCTCCGATAAAGGCTCTCGTGTCTGCTGCTCCTGCAGCGGTTCCGGCTCGCTTCCCGGCTCCAGCTTCTTCTCGAGGTCCGGATCGAGCTCCGTCTGCCGTCCGAGCTCCCCTCCGAGCTTGGTCTGCGGGGGCGTCTTCAGGTCGGCACCCCCGACCTGGGTCAGGTCGGGCAGGTCCCCGGTCGGCGCGTACACGGGCCCGGCCAGGAACGAGTGACACGGGGTGGACAGCAAGCTGAACGGACTGTAGCTGCCGTCGCGCGAGCGGCGCAGGCTGTCGTGAGACCCGGGCGTCATACGCTCCAGCGTGCTGTAGTCTCGCTCCAGGGTGCTATAGTCGCGCTCTCGCTCCAGGGTGCTGTAGTCCCTGTCGGGGGTGACGTAGTCCCTGTCAGGGGTGATGTAGTCTCCCTCTCCGTCGCCGATAAGTGTCTCTGGCAGTGTGTCCCAGCCGGCGATGGGCGGAGGGGCGCCTCGGTCGCCGAGGTGCCGCCGTGCGGGACTGGCCGGCGGGCGGACATTGTCCTCCTCTGAGGAGCCTCCCGACCACGTGCGCTCCGCCTGCTCTACCTGAACGGGGTCGGTCTTTTTAACGCCGGGCCTGTCGGGAGAGCTAGTCCAGCCGGCACCGCCGCCGCCAATACTGACTCCGCCTCCGCTGTCTCCGGCGCTGCCGCTGCCGCCCGCGCTCTCTGCCCCGCTGCCCCCACTGCCTCCCCCGCCGCTGTCCCCGGCCCGGGCGGTACGCTCACTCTCCCTCTGCTCGGCCTCTCTCAGCTCCTCGGCGAGCGACCACTCGCTGCTGGCCTCCTCCAGCTCCCGCAGCTTCTGGTACTTGAGCTTCAGCGCCTGCTCGTCGCGCAGGATCTGCTGCAGGGTGTCCTCGATGTCACCGTTCTCCTCGGCCAAACGCGCGGCGGCCTCACTCTCGCGCGGCGGGCTGGCGGCGCGCGCGGACGCCGCCACCACCGGCTCCTCCGTGAGCGGCTCGTGCGCCAGCACACTGCCGAAGAAGTTCTCGCTGGACTGGCTGGAGCGCGCTGAGGAGCCAGAGTCGAGCGAGCGGCGCCGCTCGTGCTCGTCGATGAGCGCGATGCGCGGGATGGACGTCTTGATCGTGTCGTCGGAGGTGGAGGTGGACGAGTCGAGTTTGGTGGATGTGTCGGTCTGCTCGACGCCCTCGCCGGCGTCGGCCGTCACCGCGGCGTCCGGAGCCGCCGACGCCATCTCTCGATCGGTGACAGCGCGGCCGGCAGCTCGCCGATCGACCCGGACCTACATGGGTGTCGGCACCGCCTGAAACGAAAACAAAGCCTTCATCAGAGGCCGGTTGTGGCGTGGCAGGAGTGCGGCGGCGGCGCCTCACCTGGCGCCATTAGGGTTATTGGTCGCTGCGCGCGCTCCCCTGTGCCGCTGACTGATGGGCGGCGGTAAATGGCGCGCTCAGCCGCCGCGCGCCGCGCCGCAGCCATCAGGTGGTCTTTATTCGTGTGGATAGTTTACGGCCACCGTACCGAGAGGAGGCGGCCCCAGCCGCGGCCAGTGACGGCCCGGACAGAAGCCATTTCCTCCGAAGACCGAAGAGGGATGCTAGCTGATAGCATCGACACACACGTCCGTGGTGAAATTTGTGGGCTTTATTTGCATATCGATTTTGATAAGCATAGAAGTCAGCTGTGCTCTACAGTCGTGGTAGTAAACTGGGGACAAGATTTAAGTAAGTGATTGCAGAACATAATCCATCGATGGTAAAATGTTGTTTGTCCGTTTTGCTCTTAGCATTCCAATAGCAATTCAAATAACTAAGCGTTGAGTGTCTCGGTCGCTCCAAGCAATCGCCCAAAGTCAGCCAGCTTCTCATAACTGGACGGGTAAAAGCAGCTTACGCTCGACGGTCAGAGGGTTCAACGTCGCATGCTCCCTGAGTACACGCGCACTTACACATGGATGGGCATGTACTTACTGCATGGAGGGCTGAGTGGTACAGCCCACCGCTAAAGTAATGTGTGGTTTTACCAATCTCAACGGATGGCTTTGACCGACGATTTTTAAATGCACTGATTGAAAAGAAGACGTCAATAGATAAAGTTGTAGCTGCAAGGGTGAAGATACATGTAAGCTACATTTAAAGTCTCGTTGCAGTCTGGCTAATCGTTCCTAGGCTTCAGAAGCAGAACATACCCCTGACTGAAACCACACATTACTTCTGCTGTAGACTGTACGAGCAAGCTGGATGCTTTTCGAACGGCGATGTTGCGATATCATGTGATGTCAACACCGTTTGACATTAAGCGATATCGATTTTTCGAATTCTTTTGCACTGTTGTTTTTATTTTTCACGATACGTGACCTTCAAATATTTGATACTTTTAGGATATAATACATTGTTATCCATCAGTTGTATTTGTGCTTTATGCTAGAAGACAGCGAATAAAGATGCTACAGAACTGCAAGAATATATATTACTGAACGGCTCTGGGAAAGGAAAATGGAAACCGAGGTCTTTAAAAAATTGTAGGCACGAGGCGTAGCCGAGTGCCGGAGATTTTTTGAAGACCGAGGTTTCCATTTGGACGCCATTTAATTGCGTCCCAGAAAAGCTATTTCTGGCACCTAAAAGCTGACTCGCCCCAAAATTGGTCCTCAGCACCTATTTGGTGGATACCAGCACCAATCATGGAAAATGACCTTAATTAGCTGTTTCTGGCACCTATTCATCGGTACGCCTTACTCTTTTTTCTGAATATGGCACCTAAATGCTGAGCGTAGCACCAATCTAGTAGAAAAATGAACTACTGGCTGGTAGAATCATGTTGTTCTGGTATAATGACCCCTGGAGTCTAGTCTAAAGGTTGCCAGTGCAGCTACACTCTAAGACAGCCCCGTAGTGATCTCAGCATTGTATATGACGTTTAAGTAAGCAAATAATATTGATTTGTTTGAAAAAAAACAATGTCATTTAAATATTTAAAAGCATTTATTTGTAATGCTTAAAGGGAAACATTTTTGTGAGTAATTGTCTCGATTTTGACCATTAAAACGGGTATTGTATTTTTTGACGTCATCAAATAGCTCCAAAAAAGAAATGTAATGTTTTCATTCCGTTCAAGGCCGCTGAAGAAACGCGGGATCTTGCGTGGGACATTATCCGTTGTTTGCCGCGCAGAGTTGTGCCGTGGTTGTGCCTTTTTCATCCGTTTCTTACTTATGTCATTTGTGTGCATGAAGCTTTGATTTTGTTTTTGGTTATTGTGTGGCCGGTCAGTCAAACGCCCCTGTAGAAACCGGATGCTGCGTTTGATCGAGATGGAGTCAGACGATGTCGATGATTGCAGAAAGCTAATAATATTGAAAAGAGGGCCGGTTGCGTGGCATGTCTGTTCAGAGTTTACATTTTGCTTTACTCCAGTTTATGACCTGAGAGCCTGGCTAGAAGTGACGGATCCAAACTTTTCCCATACGCCGAGATATCCCTTTAGCATTATCCTAGCCGTGCGGGAAACATTTGCACGTGATCTTTCCTGCACTGTTTTCCGGCACGGGTTGATGACCTACAGTTCTGGTGATTTTTTGATAAAAATCTTAAAAAAGGTGATTTCAATAATTAAATTGTGAGTTTCTGAATAGATATTAACCCGCGCCCAGATGGGGTCTGCCGAGCAACGCGGTCTGATGGGGGGGGGCCATTTTGGCCCCCCCCCCCTCAGATCTCGAGAACCACGCAACATAGCGACAAGCGGTAAACGGTGTTGGATAGCCCCAACGGGGAACTACCTTGTGACCCAATTTCATTGACCTCGGTCAAACCGATGACGTCACAGGTCAGGTCAAAGGTCGAATTTTCACCGTTTACAGGCATTTCAAGAAATGCGTTGTAAAATCGTGTAAAATGCATTTCATTGAAAATCATCGATGGGGAAATGTTCTTCAAACACATATTTTGCTATTTGAGGTCACTGATACCAGGTCAGGTCACAGAGGTCAGGTCACTGGGGGGTCACAATATGAAAGTGTCATGTGATACATGTTTTATGGTCCATTTTACATGACAAATGCGATTATGTGGGTCAGACAGACTTTAGGGCCAGCTTAGGTCACGTTTTGGTCAAGGTCAGGTCAAGGTCAGGTCAAGGTCAGGTCAAATTAGGTCAAATTTCAAAGTTGATATTTTTGCATAAAATGGGTATCGATTCGATGCAGCTCGTCACGGGGAGTTCAATGGTGGTCTCCGTTTTGCGCTACAAGGTCTAGAATTGCTAAAAATTGAGTTCAAAAATTTGACGTCATCAATTTTTAACAGCTTTTTCGCTATAACTTGGCCAAAAAAAGAGGTATCGAGCTAAAATTTGGTATGCATATCGAAGAGCGCAGGGACTATCACATATATTCCGGTTTTTTTCGAAATTCGAAAAATTTTTGGAAAATTTTTGAGTTTTTCTAAAAAAATCAATTTTTTTGATTTTTTGGAATCAAAATCCCAAAATTTTGAAAATCCGAGATAGCAGTTTTGTAGCCCCGTCTTTTGTCTACACAACCACATAAAGAACTTTAAAATTGCTTGTTAACTGTAGAATTGGTGAGCGTTTCAAGATGTCATGTTTTTTGCTCATTTTTACTCGAACATGACCTCAGTTTGACCTCAATAACTCCTGACCTGAGGTGACCTGTGACTTGAAATTTTGTGTGAAGGTGTCAAATTGATGCCCGGTAAGGTACCCAAAATTTGGCGGCGCTGCGCACCGCCGTTTTCTCGCTATTTAAGAAAAACCACAGGGGGGGCCAAAATGGCCCCCCCCCCCCATCAGGGCGCGGGTTAAACGACGTATGGGAAATATCTTACTGAACTTGCTCTGGGAAGAAAAATGGAAACCTCGGTCTTCAAAAAATATCCGGCACTCGGCTACGCCTCGTGCCTACAATTTTTTAAAGACCTCGGTTTCCATTTTTCTTTCCCAGAGCCGTTCAGTAATATATATTCACGTTAAAATGGCTGAGGGTGCAATAATCTCTAGTTTCTACATAGCGGGCTGGTATAGGAGCGTCTTGCTATGCAGCACCATAGCTGGCTAGTGATTCTCTTTTGGCTAGAAATGGCATTAATCATTATCTCCACTGGCGAAAATGGCACTTGACATCACCGAATGCAACGTTCATGTTTGTTAGGATACATAAAATCAGGAAGATTACGCGAATTAGGTAGGCAAACGTGGAATAAAATAGGTGCTGGAAGTTTTGGTTTTGGTGCTGAATCAGCAAACAGCAAATACGGAGTTCAACTAGACGATCTGGCAACTTTAGGCTGTGTGGAAGCAATTAGGTGCCAGATTCAGATATTAGGGTCGAATAAGCATTTTGGGGCTGATCAGCAATTAGGTGCCAGAAACAGCTTTTTAGGGACGAGAAACAAATATTCCCCTTTCCATTTTTGTTCCCAGAGCAAGTTCAGTAAGATATTTCCCATACGTCGTTTAATATCTATTCAGAAACTCACAATTTAATTATTGAAATCACCTTTTTTAAGATTTTTATCAAAAAATCACCAGAACTGTAGGTCATCAACCCGTGCCGGAAAACAGTGCAGGAAAGATCACGTGCAAATGTTTCCCGCACGGCTAGGATAATGCTAAAGGGATATCTCGGCGTATGGGAAAACGCGCTTCTCTACTCCAGTCCCAAGCAAGAACCCACTCTTCCATTTCCAAGTGTTTTGTTTATGAAACATCAGTCGTTTGGTGAGCACATTTGTGAAGTCACAAACAGCCTCATTTGATCTGCAGTATCTCCGGCATATGTCCGCTAGGACGACCGAGGACTCTTCGATGAAAAGGCTCTGTTGTCGAAATTGTTTACCGAGCGCCAGTCGCCAGTTCTTCGCGCTTTTCTCCGGCGGCAGGGCGGTGACATCCAAATTCCAATAGAGAGTGGCATCTACGCGAGAATACGCAATTTGGTCTAGAGTGGTCGATGTTGTATCGCACAGTTTACACTGAATAAATAACGTCGGGTCTGTGTACATTTCCATTTTTAGCTTTTATGTTACGGTAACATCTTAAAAAAATTACAGCGTAACATGAAGCATGAGGCCTGTTTCTTGAAAACGGGAAGCTAAATAAATGGTATAAATTTATCGATAGCAGCTGACCTAAATGACTATGAGCAGTGCCTGGACATCAGTTTTGTGTGACTGGTGATTTAACCCTCGCATGTGTGCGGCGTTTGCCAGCTTC